GTATAAATATGAGTCTATTAATCCATTTTTTAGAGATGTGACTCGGAAGCAGTGCAAATAATTTATATAAAACACATATATTACTTTAAGTATTCCCAAGATTTAAAAATGATAATATCTACACTGATACACCTTAAACTTTTTATGTATCATAATGAAGGGCTAAAAAATATGCTTCTGGCACCACTTACCCAAGAACAATGTTGAAGGCGATAGAATTTTTGTTTAGCTTTGACGTACTTTATTACAAATATATTAAAAAATATATATATCAAAAAGTACCGTTTTTGAACTGATACACCCTGCATTATTTACATATAGTAGAGCAATGTTCATAAAACTTAACGCTGTTCTCTCTTTTTTTAGAACTCCATTAAACTTTTTATGTATCATAATGAAGGGCTAAAAAATATGCTTCTGGCACCACTCACCCAAGAACAATGTTGAAGGCGATAGAATTTTTGTTTAGCTTTGACGTACTTTATTACAAATATATTAAAAAAAAAATATATAAAAAAAGTACCGTTTTTGAACTGATACACCCTGCATTATTTACATATAGTAGAGCAATGTTCATAAAACTTAACGCTGTTCTCACTTTTTTTAGAACTCCATTAAACTTTTTATGTATCATAATGAAGGGCTAAAAAATATGCTTCTGGCACCACTCACCCAAGAACAATGTTGAAGGCGATAGAATTTTTGTTTAGCTTTGACGTACTTTATTACAAATATATTAAAAAAAAAATATATAAAAAAGTACCGTTTTTGAACTGATACACCCTGCATTATTTACATATAGTAGAGCAATGTTCATAAAACTTAACGCTGTTCTCACTTTTTTTAGAACTCTATCGGGGGCAGTGGAAATAATTTTAAAATTTAACTAATCATTTTACCAAGATTAAAAATACAGAAAAGTCTACCGTTTCTGAGTTGATACACCCTAAAGAACCCCGCAATAATCTTATGGAAATTGGGTTTCTGTCAAATTGTCTGAATTTTTGATATGTTGTAGATTTTGTCATTCTGAACAAAAGTATCCATGGCCACAAAGTGCCAAAATGAATATTTTGGCAGCTACGGAGCTACCAAAGCTCCCCTGACCAGTTTTTTTTTTTTTTTCTTTATTGGTCTCAACTTATACAAGTTATTTAACCAGCACTAACATTAGTTACATGAAAATAAATACAATTAAATTAAAATACTATTTGACTCTGTAAAATTAAAAAAAAAAAAAAGGTGAACAATATTTTTTATAAATTAATGTTAGAAGATTTTAAAAATGACATGATTATGGCTGTACGGCAAATTGGTTTTCGTAAATAATCATTTAGACATAAAGGGGAATACTGGGGTCGAAAAGCTAAAACCAGTTGCAAAACTATTCATTTTCAATACTATTGACAGATGTCAAAAGCATATTTTAATTATTCTAATATATAGGGTAATGTTTTTGAGGTCACTGAATTCAATCCTCATGTCAGATTGGACAAATTGACCGTTGACAGCTGTCAATTCACGGTCAACGAGGAATATAAAAGTAAGGCCATATTCGAGCGGTCTCTTTGGTTTAAAAATATTTTCAACAATCTTTAGAACCAGTTTTAATACTACGTCATAGATTTTGAAAGCGCTCAAATAGATGATTTTAAAACAGTGATGTCACTAACAGTTAAGGATTTGTGAGTGTGTAAATCTCTAGCAACACATAATTTTTTGACTCAAAAAAAACTCATATATTACCAGAGTTTTATAAAAAAAATGGATCGTTACATTTAGAATCCGATTTTAACCAGTTATTTTGAATTACAAGGTCAAGTTTTCAAAAATTACTAAAAATTATGCATTTTCTATTTTTTCTTATAACCGTAATATATAAAAATGTTTTTTGATAATTAATTTTAATACATGATCTTCGTTACTATTTTTGACATTAATGACATTTCTATTTCCTTAAACCGTTCTCAACCAAACGTTTCAAAAATAGATGCAGCTGGTTTAGACCTATTTCAACGTGATGTCATTGTTTGGTCACTCGAATGGGAATAGTTCAAACCGTTTTCGAACTGAATGAAATATGTTTAAATCAGTAGACCGCTCGAATATGGCTTTAATATCCTTTTTTTTTACAGCTGTCAATTTGTCCAATCTGACATGAGAATTGAATTCAGCGACCTCAAAAATCTAAACTCTCAATGTGAAAAGAGAATATTTACTTTAATATTCCTCGTTGACCGTGAATTGACAGCTGTCAACTGTCAATTTGTCCAATCTGACATGAGAATTGAATTCAGCGACCTCAAAAACCCAAATTCTCAATGTGAAAAGAGGACATTTACTTTTATATTCCTCGTTGACAGTGAATTGACAGCTGTCAACGATCAGTTTATCCAATCTGACATAAGGATTAAATCCAGTGACCTCAAAAACATTACCCTATATATTAGAATAATTAAAATATGCTTTTGACATCTGTAAATAGTATTGAAAATTAATAGTTTTGCATCGGGTCAGGGGAGCTTTGGCAACTCCGTAGCTACCAAAATATTCATTTTGGCACTTTGTGCCCATAGAGACTTTTGTTCAGGATAACAAAATCTACAACATATCAAAAATTCAGAAAATTTGACAGAAACCCAATTTTCATAAGATTATTGCGGGGTCCTTCTATACTTATGGTATAGTAGGGATCACAAAACTTGACAATAGGTATACTTTTCCCAGATCTTTGTCGGGGGTGGCAAAACGAATTTTTAAATTTGACGTATGTTATGATAAATATATCAAGACAAGTTTTGTGAATATTACTCTGCTGTATATAAAAATGCAGGGTGTGTCAATTCAAAAACGGTACACTTTTCCATATTTTTAAAATTTGATATATTTGTAATAACATACGTCAATTTCAAAAGTTCGTTTTGCCACCCCCGACAAAGATCTTTAAAAAGTGTACCCATTGTCAAGGTTTCTGATCCCTACTCTACCATACATAAAAAATTCAGGGTGCATCAACTCAGAAACGGTTGATTTTTCTGTATTTTTATTCTTGGTAAATGAGTAATAATTTTTCGTTAAATTTACGAATTATATTCACCACCCCCGATGGAGTTCTAAAAAAAGTGAGAAGAACATAAGTTTTACAAACATTGCTTTGCTGTATATAAAAAATGCAGAGTGTATTAATTCAGAAACGGTACACTTTTTCATATTTTTATCTTGATATATTTGTAATAAAATACGTCAAAGCTAAACAAAACGATGTTCTTGGATAAGTGGACCCAGAAACATATTTTTTTAGCCTTTTATATAAAAAAGTTTATGGTGTATCAGTGTAGATATTACCATTTTTGAATTTTCAAAATCTTTGGAATACTTAAGTTATTATGTGTATCATATAAATTATTTGCACCGCTCCGGAGTCATATCTCTAAAAAATGGAATAATAGTTTCACATTTATACAGAAAAATTCCTAACTTTATATATTTTATTTTTTCCGTAGCTAAATATCGTATCTACCTTTACCACTTTTTCCGTTGCTAATCGCCGTTTCTATCTTCACATAGATGATATTTTAAAATAATATTTATTACGTAAATATACCTACATAATTACGATGTTCCTAAAACGTTCTTGAGAAATCATTCCAGAAACGCTTCTTTAGAAACATTGTAGGAACGTACCATTTATTTTACCCACTTACTTTGATTTTCTTTTACTATATGGAGAATGGTCGCACTGCGCAGCTTTCTGAGTGCCTTTTAAAAGGAGATAGAAAACTCCGCCATTTTGAACCCTTATTACGTGTTGCCTACATCTTGGCGCAATATTTTTAATGCGATTTAATCATCCGCTTCTGCTTCGGAATTGTCGGTTTTCTTGTTTAAATCTGACAGAAGATTGCTGTTTTATTATAGGCGGTTGTCCTATATTGTATTATCTGAGTTGCGCAGTGTATAAACTGGAACATTGAGATAAAAAGTGCCGACGCAGAGTGAGCTGTCTGATTTTTTAGCTATAAACTGTGTCATAGGGTTCAAAATGGCCGCGCCCTATGTTGGGCGTGTCGGACCTCTCTCTTGCCTCGTATAGTAATCAAAGTATGTGATTTTACCTGACAGGTTAAAACGACTAAACCGACAATTCCGAAAGCAGAAGCGGATGATTAAAACGCACCTGATATTTTGCTTGCTACTGTCAGTGTCAGTGAATATTATTTTTGGAGTCACAGTTTATTGCTAAAGAATCAGTTAGCTCACTCGGACCAGTTGAAAGTTCCAAAATAACATCCACTCCAGGGATAAAAATTCAGGAAGCGCAGAAGACTGCTGTTTTATTGTAGGCGGTTGTCATATATTGTATTATCCGAGTTGCACAGTGTATAAACTGAAACATTGAGATTAAAAGTGCCGACGCAGAGTGAGCGATCTGATTCTTTAGCTATAAACTGTGGCATAGGAATCAAAATGGCCGCGCCCTATGTTGGGCGTGTTAGACCTCTCTCTTGCATCGTATAGTAATCAAAGTACGTGCATAGAACCTAAATGAGATGTTTTTGCCAGATCAGTGTTATTAGGGTTATAGCGAATGACATCCTTATCTCACTATATTTCATACCAACTTTCAATAATATTTTTTAAATTCTCTTCTTGCTGCGAATCAATAGTTTTTCTCTGCTAGTTGTTTTAAAAACATTCTGGGCATACAATTTTGCAGTACCCTAAATACTACAAAATTGCCAAAGACAATAGTGGCAAATCAGTAGTCAAGGAATTTTATTACTCAACAATATACATATCAGTGATTATATGACATGATATGATATGATGATAGTGATAAATTAATAGAAATGTAGTAGTTGATTTTTAGAATTTCTAGCTAATTGTTATTAAATTAGATAATATTTAGTATTTTACATATCAATTAAATCAACTAGATTATTTTTTTTTATTATTTCTTTGTTCAATTTAGTTTCATTAATAACTAGGATATTTCAACAATGTCTGTAGAAGGCATAGATTCTATTCTTTCTAAGAACGTCCTCAAAGGTAAAAAAGTTTTAAATGTGGAGGTTACCAATCTAGTACAGCCTGGTGAAAATTTTGGAGGTGAGCTTTTAAAGTTAAATATTACAACTGAAGACGAAGAAACAAAATCACAAGATGTACTACATGCAGTAGCAAAAAAAATTCCAGTTGCCGAATTTGCTCAAGAAATGTTTAACGTACAAAGAACATTTAAGGGAGAAATATCATTTTACGAAAAGCTTGTACCTGCTTTTCAAGAATTTCAAAAGGAACATAATTTAAAAGATATAATTAACTGTTTTGGCACATGTTATGGAGGCAGACTAAATATGAATGGAAGTGACACTGTGGATAGGGATGCTCTAATTTTAATGGAAAATTTAAAATACTTAGGTAGAAATTTTGCGATTACTGACAACTTATTTACTTTGTAAAGTTTCTATGTCATTGCCAGTTTATTATATAATAAAATATTTTTTTTTAGGTTATAGCAATATTGACAGATACATTGGTTACAATTTAGAAGAAGCGCATGTTCTTCTAAAAGACTTAGCAGCATTGCACGCAATACCGCTAGCAATAAAACTGAGAAAACCTGAATTTTTTCAAAAAGAAATCAGACCTTTCTTAAACAATCAATTTATCCATGAAGACAATAATGCATTTGGAGATACAAATCTTTTGTTATTAGATATTTTGTGCGAATCTGATAAGTGCGGTCCATTCATTTCAAGGGTAAGTTTAAGGCGAGATGCTAATTTTGTCAATTACAAAGCTTTACTAACTATAGTCATTCCAATCCCTAATTTCGCCAACATAGCAATATTAAAAGTTAATATAGCGGCAACATCTATCAAAGCTTATCATGGTAATATAAACATTCTAATATTCTAAGTATTGTAACTCTAAAACATATTGTCGGGACATTTGCCCAGTTTTTTTCAGGTACATTTTGATCCGGCAACGTTGCACATAAGGTGGGATAGTACCAAACCACCCCAAAGCATAGGACAGATGCGCACGCATAGTCGTACGATATATATTGATAGACAGGATCCAGAGATATAGGATCACGTCATCAGTAGTATTGGTAAAGGAAATTTTAGAAGTAGGGGATAAGCAAACAATAATTTATTTAGATATTATGACAATAAAAAAAGTAACTGTAAAAACAAGTGAAAAAAAAATAAATAAAATTACTAAAAGAAATAAATCAAATATTCGAATAGACGAAGTGTGAATTCTGGCATTTCAAGTATATTCGGGGTGTTTCAGAATAAAATACTTGTAGATCTTAATAAATTAATATGAAAAAATAAATATAATTTTCCTTTAAACGTCACAGTTTTTATTTTACAGAGTGATAAAGTAAATTTCATAAATACAAAATTTTCTAAATAACTTCCCTTACGGTAAATATTGTAACTTAAAAATATTTATATGTTAGTTAATCGTCATTGTTAGTTAACACACTTTATTTTTATAAATTACGATAATACATTGGTTTAGAATCAAAGGTTATAAAATCATTATTTATCCAAACCTTTTGAACACCCTATATTTAATAAAAGTTAAGATTAGTAACATTTAATTACCGAAATTATTCAGTCCAAGTCCTACTCAAACATGTACAGTTTTATCAAGAGACGATTTCATAAAACATATTAAAAGGTCCATTAGCTAATAGGACAAAGTTTTTATGGACTTTGCATTTTTTGAATTTTTTAATGTAGATATTTCATGTTTGAGTGGGATTAAAACTGAAATAACCTTATAAAGGGAATGTTCTACAGATATCAACCAAGAGTCCGTTTTTCTGTAAGAAATTGCGTAAGGAATAATTATGAATTTCAGCTTTTACGAAATACATAAGTTCCTATAGGGTGTTTAAAAAATTTGGATTAAAATTGCGTTCTTGGTCCTTGATTCTACTCCAATGGGTTATCGTATTTTGTCGAATTAGAGTGTCAACCACAAGAATAAATAATAACCAGAAGGAAATATCTCATTTAATTCATTTGTAGTTGATGCCGACGAAGTATGACCTCGTCTATTAGTTAATACTTGTTTTCCACAGGCGCATCGAAAAAAGGTCAGGAAAATAAAAAAAAAATATTGGGAAGCTATATAGGAAAGTAAAAAATATTTACTTATCTTTCCAAATAACAACCTTTTTGTCTTTTATAGTTTTACAATTTCGGTTAATACATTTAAAAGTATAAAATAATCCTACTCTACCGAATAATTTTATTAAATAATTAATTGGAAATATTTCACATGGATGTGAAAAACTTGTATTTCTAAAAATACTTTGAAATGTATCTATTACATTTTTGTGTATAATAATAGTCTTAAAATTTATTTTAAATATTACCTCTAAACAGGAGATAAATTTTACACAATCATTGTGTGGCATGTTTAAGTTACCAAATAAATCTAAATTAGAGCTGTTATAAGCTTTATAGTAACAAAATAAAGATGTATCGTCCAAATTTTGATAGGCTTTTGAATATTCCTCACAAATTGTACAAGAATGTATAGATAGGAATTTTTTCATTAGGTAACCCGCAAAATACCTTTCAAAATTCGTTTCTAACGTGGAATCTTTTTGATAACTGCTAGCTATTTCTGGCAAATTTGATGTATGGGGATGTGTATGAGCTACGAATAAATTTGTATCCTCTTTAATGACATCAGATACACGCAGAAGCATATTATCCATGTCATTCTCGCAGATGTAAGTTCCGGAATTGAGTAGCTTTACAAAGAACAACTTTCTAAAGGTTCTTTAAAATTGAATGGCTGTTGAATTAGCACAATTACTATTTTGCTGTCTTATAAGACCAAACAAATTTTCTAACGGATCTTGGTTCAAGCGTCTAGTCAAAAGAAATTTAACGTTTTTTGTTTTAAGAAAATCCTATAAATGAAGAATGGAGCTTATTGTTATTTTAAAACGTGTTATAAATTTCATTTTTTTAGTTACATCCCCACCTAGGTTATTAAAAACTTTTAAGTTGTCTAACAGCAATAACATCTCATTTAAAAATGTCAGTTAAAAGTCGAGACCCTTAAACGCCAAATTATATTTCTTCCGATCTGATGTTTTGGATGAGTTTAAAATATCAAATAAGTTGTCGATTTCATCAGTAAAATCAGCAGTTACCTGGGCTTCATTAGACAAGTTACCTGATTCTACGTACACATTTAAAGCCGCTGAAACTGTAAGACTAAATACCTGACTTGCATATTTTACCTTCATTTTTTCAAAATTACTAGAAAATATATGCGAATCAGTTAGTTTAGGCGCTGATCTGGTAACTAACGACTAATCAATATTATATAATTGCATAATATATGACCAAGAAACTATTTTATTAGAAACAAGAAAAGTATCTTTCAGTAACATGTTTCTCATAGCCTTGATGAGGTGAAGTGTACAGAATATAAAAAAAACTTTTTGAAGGTCAAAAATAAAATAAGGTCTCTCAGGGGTTGTTTGGAAAAAGTTTTTACATTGAATATTATTGGAGCCCATATCACTTACGGTAACAATAACGTTCAGTCCAATATTCCTTAACTTTTTAATAGCATCAAAAACTATATACTTTAACTCTAAACCAGGGTATGTACTATTGTAAAAAAATAACTCAAAGGTTGCTTCCAATTATAGAAAATCCCCCTGACCAACAAGACTGTTTAAATACTCTTTTCTCATTGCCGGGATCTTCCACGCCTACAACATAATCCGCACTACGATTAAAAAAGATTGCCTTTATGCTTATCCCATCCACAAACAGTACACAATATTTTTCCATTTCATTAAAATTGTCAGCTTTAATTTTAAGTGTTTTGAATACATTGGAGACTTCCAAACCTGGTGAGCTGTCTATCCCACGTAATAAGATTCTAAGGGATTGCAGCCCAAGCAGGCAAAATCATTTAGTTAGAAGTGTTTTATAAACTTTTGGGTCAGAGAAATATAGTAAAAAACGCTTAAATTTAAATTCGTCCAAATACCTTCGACCTTTAGCTGATTTGATGCTTTGGGTAATCAGAACATTAATAATTTATGCGAGTTCTTTGGATGGGCACAGTGAATACGTACAAGTTTTGTACTGTTCGAGAGTGATCGTGTCTTCCAATTTTTCTTGAAGCTTCTTTTCAAGACTTTTACATTTATTAAGAAGGACCTGGTTGTCTCTGTTCAACAGTTTGTTCTCAAATTTCAGGGCATTGTTGATCTCCCTTAGTTTTTCTTTTCTTGGGCTTCGAAAAGTTAGTTTCTCTTATATTTGGACACTCCGTGAAGGAAAACGTATTAGTGACCGCTGAATCGATTCTGCCTTATCGGAAGAGTTGTCAATGCTTGAAGCTGATGGTTCCAAAAGCTGATATAAAACACTCGTACATGGCACTTGAGACGTTTCAGTGCTAGAAGTCGATGTACTTGGAACTGTCTCGTCAATGATGCCACTTGAAACGAATTTGAGTGGAACAGCATCTTTTCGTAGTATTTGTCTCTTTCCTTTTTGGAACATCCGTGAAGAAAAATGAACATCACAAATTCTATAGCTCTTTTGAAGAGTGTCTACTTTGTATAATAAATCTGATCTATAACAAGCTAAGAGCCAAGATTTCGCTCTGAAATAAGATGTACCCTTATTTTTCATTTTATTTAACCTGATAGCTTCAGACTTCCATTGTCTGGGATAGAGTATAAATTTTGGGATAACTAATAAAGCTCGGGAGATAAGCACTTAAAAAACAAAATATGGATGCAAATATGTATGCAAATATGTATAAAAAACAGTCAAAATATGCACTAAAAACATAGTTTTGAATTTAAATGTGAATTAAATAAGTAAAAGTTAGACATTAAATTAACTAAAATTAACTACACTTTGAGATCGAAACCGGACATTTAGGCGCGATAATTATAATTTTTTAATTGGTATATTCATTAAAAATTTTGGTCTTAAGATAGATAATAAAGTTTAATAAAAAAACAGATTAATATTTTTATTGAAATAATAAAATAAAAATTAAGGTATGTATGAATAATAAGGGTATAATTAGAGTAATTCCAGAAAGATATTAGAGATTAAATATAGAAATGCCGAAAATTACCTAAAGTGTATCATAACAAGCAATTATTACATTAAGGTATTTATAAATAAAAAGGGTATAATTAGAATAATTACAGAAAGATATTGAAGATTAAATATAGAAATGCCGAAAATTACCCAAAGTGTATCATAACAAGCAATTAATAGAGATAATTCAGTTTTTATAGGTCATTACTACCTTGACTGGTTTTAAATTCTGAAAATTACCTTAAATGTATCATAACAAGAAAATATTAGAGATAATTTTGTTCTGTAGGTCAAAAAAGAAACATTTTGATTCTTAAAAAAAGGTATTTTTGTATATTACTCGCGGTCAAACCATTTATAAATAAATAAATACTGTTAAATCGACTACTTTTAATTGCGTCGTTGTTCTTGCTAACCAGCATATAAACATTATTTTCTACTCATGTACTATAATTTGTTAATTAAATGTTAATGTTCAGTTTCATAATGATATTCTTTATGTTTAAGTGTAAAGGTTAAAGAAAAGGTCCTTTATTTCTCACAAGTCAAGTGAGACTTGTGAGAAATAAAGGACCTTTTCTTTAACCTTTACACTTAATCCCTACTACTCACATATGGCTACCCTCACTCCAAAACATATTCATTATGCACTGGTTTTTCATTATGAAATTGAAAAATTTATCAATAGAAACCTACATTTTGTAATAGTCATGTAAGCATCCAGTTATTTTCCCCAAATAGTTTTTGACAGTTTCTGGAAGATTTATGTTCTGTGTCAGTTTAGATCTTCCATTTTGAAATATCTAGGTATTTTAAATTTGAAAAAAGATGTCCAGCAACGATAATGTTCCATGTGCACTATTTGAAATTGAAGGTATAAAATGTATAGTCAACATTTAGACTGGAAGCTAACAAAGGAAGTAACAACCTTTTCTAAAAATGTGTTGCTTTGAACAACTCTCAACCAAATTGAAATACTCGTTACTCCATTTTGAAAACACAACTGAATATTAAATATAAAACTGATGTGTTAGAGAATACCCAAAATTGCTATCATATAAAAAGAGAAAGTCCAAAGGCTATAGCGGAAAAATATCCGAAACACTTTTGGGAAATAAAAAAGATTTATTATTTAGTTGTCTAAACAAGTAGTCATAACAAATTGGATTGCTTAAGGTTTTGAGGGATTAAAAGCATTATAATTATTTACATTATTATATTTTCGATTGAAGAACTGATTCTTGGTCGTAGAAAAAATAGGGTATGCAACTCTTATGTAATGGCTATTAATACATGATCGTTGCATAATATACTATTATTAAGATATACCCTAAGTACTGTGGGCCAACCCACCCTCCCTCAGATTAAAGATGCAGAAAATATCCCGAAGTAACAGCTAATTTAAAACACCCTATATTTGACTTATATATTATACTTTATGTGTATTACCTTTCAACATCTTGAGGAAATCTGTAAAATAAATGTGCACCTATATAAGATTTATTTTTGCAGTCTTTATAACTACAAACAAATCCATAACCTACACTGTCATTAAAGCACAACAAAATCAGAAAATCGTCAACGATAAAAATATTTAAGCAAAATAATAACAGAATAATAATAATTATAAATTCACGATTTTGATACCACCGCTCGTACCGGTCGCTACTGCAATGAATATTTCGGTGTAGGTATGCTTAAAGGTTACGAGCCCTTGAAGATCACTTTATCACCCTGTAGAATGAAGACTGGGACTTTACAGGAAAATTATATTCAACTTTTCTTAATAATTAATTAAGAATTATAAATTCCCCAGTTTACAGTACTTTATTCTGAAACACCCTGTATAGAAAAAAAAAAATAATTTTTTACAAAAAGTTTTAGGCATTTATTTATTATTTGCAAATGGTAGGTAATACCGGTAATTTTTCAGAGGCAAATAGAAATATTAAATAAAAATTCAATTTTTCTTATATTCTTTTTTATACTTATTTTTAACAATAAAAATAAAAATGAGAGATGTACTTACTTGCATTTTATGTAAATATGTAATCGTAATGGGGTAAAAAAATAAGTTAATAATTCGAAATATTTTAAAAATATTTAATAAATATTTGTAAATAATGGCATTGCAGGTAAATATACAAATTTAAAAAAATATAAAAAACATTTAAATATAACTTAACTTAAATCATAAAAAATTATAATTTTTGTAAATGGCTTAAAGTTTTTAAACATTTAATAATATTTCCGTCTTCAGTATTTATACCTATGTATACTTTTATTTTATTGTTCGATGATGGTAGCCCAGACTCCTTTCAAAGTATTTCGCTGTCTTGGAATTCAGCTTCAAATCGAAGAAACTTAATCAATTCGTACACATTGGGGTTGTTTCTTATTCGGAGCTGTAATTTTTTATTCCATCCTTCTACGGCATTATTTGTACGGTGTCTTAAATTATAACAATTCCATACATCTCTTGGCAACGAGTTATTTTCAAGCCATTGGTTTATAAAATAGTTGTTAAACTCTTCTATTTTCGTTAACTGGACAATCCTTCATTATTTCCAGCCAGCCTTCATCAATAAGATTCATAGGTAAATGAGCCAGCGAAAACACATTTTTATGTGTGTTTGTATTTCCATATCATTCTTGTATAAAGAAGCTAATCCTACGCTTTGGATTCTTCTACACAAACACTGACTAAAGTGAAAGTGGCATCCTTTAATGACAGAATTCCTAAACTTTTGTTTTAAAGCTTCAATAACTGGAGTTACGAAATCTAACAAAAAACTGCTTGGTTTCCATTCCGGTAAATACTGTTTCAGTTTTTGAAAAAGTATGTTATAAGTGCTGTACTTTTTGTTAGGCAATAATGCCAAAATAACAGGAACTATTGACTTTTCACTATCAGTGCTTCCCAAATCCGTATAAATTGTATAATAATTGTGAAAACTGTTTACTTGTACATTTGAACGTCATATCCAAAAACATTTCATGTTTTGTTTTTAATATTTCTCTGCTTCTTCTACTGGCAGAAACAAACACTTTTTCACTATCTACCTTTTCGAAAAACAACAGAAATTCTTTATCTTCGTCCAAGATGACAATGTCGATGAAGTAGGATTTTTAGGAGTACAACGTTTTTTCGCTTTAAATCGGTTTACTTTGCTTTTGAATCTACGCTGTATTTTATAGAGCGGCAATATTGATTCTTCAAATAGTTTGTGAGCTGGTAGATCTTCCTCTCTTGCACGTTTTTTTGTATTCGTAATTGCATTTCGAATCTCCGCACCGCAAACTATTTTTGAGCAGCTGTGGTCATTTTTTCAAGGAGTTCTAAGTTTCCGGTAGCCTTAAAAATTAAAAATATAGTGTTAATTTAAAAATGCTTATAATGTGCCTAATATCTATATAAAATTAGGTTTGGAAATAAAATAAAAATTAATATGAAGAGACAGCTTTTCTGAGAAATCTGTTTCAAAAATGTCAGAACATTTAACTCAATGAATTATCGTGAATTAAAATTTTATTTAAATGGTGTCAGAAAACGTTATTTAAAAAATAAAATGTTCAAGCAAAACATAACATTTTATAAAAATATACCTAACTTTATAAGAAATTAAAAATAAAAAGGTTTTTACTTGTAAACTCAATCTCTCCAAGAGCAAACTTGATCAGTTTTCGGTTTTTCGATTGGAGCATCCCCACAACGTTGCTCGCTTTCCTTTATTTCATATATAAAGGAGATAGTTTTCAAAAATAAAAGCTGGATTTTCCTTTGACACAAATTTTAGGAGTTTCCATTACAATAAACAGCAGAATAATAATAATAATATTAATAATAATAATAATAATGTTTACTTGTCGGAAATCGATTGCAAACTAATTTTTGTGACATTTTCTTGCCGGCAAATAATCTAACTACCCTTATTAATAGAAATCTTTAAAACTTGTTTATCGAAGAATTTTCATAGATATAGGTAGGTATAGTTAATATTTGTATATTTAATATTAGTTAATAGTTTAAGCTGGAATAACATTTCCGGTTAAAATTCGAGATTTGTTTTATTCGGTTCTATTTGTATTAGTTTTTTCCACGAAATGGATTACATTTTTCACACAATGTTCCTAATAGGAATTTAGGATAAATATGAATATAGTGGGCAAGTGACCGTTACGGGGATGGAGCTACTAATAATTACCATTCATAGCTCCACCCCTATTCGCGATGTTGCCATACTTAGCAGGAGTTCTCTTTCTATGTTCGGGCAGTATCAGCCTTGAACTATCGCGATTATGCTTATCGCGGCGGACAGTATTGGTCGACAAAGGCAGTATCGGCCTTGAAATATGGCTGTAACGGCCATCGCATCGGACAGTATCGGCCCACTGAGGCAAGATCGGCCCACCGAGGCAGTATCGGCCTTCAAATATAACAGTAACGGTTATCGCATAGGCCAGTATCGGCCCACTAAGGCGGCATCGGCCTTGAAATATGTCGGTAAAACCAATCGCATTGGGCACTATCGGTCCACCTAGGCAGTATCTGCCTTGAAACATGGCACTAACGGCCCATCAAGGCAACTTAAATCGTTTACTAGTTCGTTAACCATTCTCGTTCACAAATATAAATATTTGGGCCTATCTTTCTCTAGATAGTGGTTAAATATGTGTTCCTATAAAGCCAGTTTTCCAAAATTTTGTGTTATATTAAATCGCTAAATTTCAAATATTGGAAAAGTGACTCTGAAACACATATTTAAACTTTACCTACATATGCATATTTTTCTTTCATTAAAAATAGAAAAATAGCTTTAAAAGTGGGGGCTACTTTTCGTATTAGTGGCGATTGCCAAAGTAAATATTCCTATTAATATTATTAGGTTATGTATATTTAACGCATCCTTTTTGTTAAAATAAAGATTTTAACAAAGCAATTTAAATTTTGGTAATAAAAAATAAATAATTCTTTGATACTGATAAGCCGTGCAACGTCTATGCTGACTCTGTTACTTTTTGTCGGAAATTTCATTCAGAAACAGAAGTGTTGATCACGCATATGAATCACCTTCTTCATTATTTTAATGGAGTATAATCAGCACAGAATTTGTAACTGTTTTCAAAGAAAATAAAATCTAGTAAAAGTTGCTGTCTTTTAAATCGATGGTTACAAGAAGCACATTATTTATAACATACATAATGGTAAAAAAATAGGTGTTAATTTTTTAGTTCTTTTTCTATTATTTTATTGATTATAATATACATTTTTTAGGTAAGAAAAGTTTTGAACGCATACAAACATCCACAGAAATATCAAGCAAGAGAACCGTTTGCTACGTTTTATCATGGAGATCTCTGGGTTAATAACGCTATGATGAAATATGAAAATGGTAAACCCGTCAGTAACAAGTTTATTGATTTTCAATGTTACGATTATAGGTCTCCAGCCAGCGATCTTCTTAATTTTTTAATAACAAGTGTTAATACTGACGTTTTGAAAGAAGAAATTGATGGTTTGCTGAAGTTTTACCATTCAGAATTTCTTGATAATTTAAGAAAGTTGGAATGCGATATAGAACCTTTTAAGTAAGTATTCTACTGTGCCTTTTTACACCTCATCATTTTTAATGTAATGAGTTGTAAAAATATGGTAAAGGCTTGTCGAACTTCTTAGTTTTCTTGTGGATTTTCATATTCTATCAAAAACACTGCATTGATCTATCTTTATATATAAAAATTTCATGTCACGATGTATGTTCGCGATAAACTCCGAAACTAATGAAAGGATTTTTAAAAAATTTGGCAACTATCTGTAATTTGGTCCAATTTAAAAGATAGGATACTTTTTATTTCAATTATTGACCTAAATATTTGTAATTGCAAATTAAATGTTTATTATACGACAATTAGGCATTCCAACGACCTGTCAAATAACATCTGACAGCGGGAAGGGTTAGTGCCAATTTATAGAAAATGTATAAGCGGTTTTTTTTAAAATAATATTTTCATTGTGTTCAACATAAAACAAATTTCATCCATTATTTATGATTTCATATAATGCAGATAAACTACATCGTATGTCGCAACCCTTTAAACATACCAAACCTTTATTTGTATGGAATGCCTAAATATTGTGTATTTATTGGTTAGTTCTATGAATTCCTAATAGATGACGGTGTAAGGTGAAGACTTTCGCCTTTTTAAATATTCGCGATTCAAGCTAAGTGATACGCCCTCTGGAGGAAATTAGTAGAAGGTCCCTATAAGTAGGATGACGTTAAGTGTTGCCAGAAGCAGCAAAATTTCGTTACGTCGTCGGATTTTAGTTCTTGAAGAAATGGATGACCTTTTATTTAAGAATCAAAATTTTTGTCTAGTAATATGTAATCATACTCTATATTTATTTAAGGATTTTTTTATAAAATCGATTTATTATATTGATTTATTTTTAAATTTCAGTTCATTTATTAATTTTAGTTTTAAAATCAGTCAGAGACAAAATCAGTTCATCATTTGGCAACATTGGCGTTCGTGTTCATTGTTTACATTTTAATTTGTATCAATTACAATTAAGAGTTTTTTGTTACTTTTTAGCTTTAAATTTGTTTATTTCTTATAGTACCTATGTGATAGTATTTAAATTAAAAATGAAATCTGCGAAAAAGCCTCCAGCAAATTGCAATCTATATGGTGTGTTATTGTCAAAATCAAAACTGAAGTATTCATTATTTTTCAAGTGCAAGTCATAAAATTTTGTTTCTTACGATAAATGGGTATCTACAAATTCACAATATTGAAATTTTACAAAACGTTGTTTAGAATCAAACTCCAATATGAGTTGTAACGGTTTTATTACCATTTACATGTATACAAAGTACTACACAATTCACTTCATGATATAAGAATAAGGATAGTAAGATTTTTAAAGAAGTTCATCAATAATAAACGTTTGGTACCTGATATGTCCTTTAAACCACATAATAAAACATGTCCTGGGTTTAGAAAATACATATTTCTAGATGTTCTTATAGCAACCAATAGGTCAATATTTCCAACAAATTAGTTCATACTACACATGAAAAATATTACATTTATAACGAAAGCACGAAAACAAAACTTAAATTAACACTAAATGAAACTCAAAAATACTATTATAATAAGAATATTATCTAAAAACAGTTAAAAAATCACAAATACAAAATCCCACAACACGTAAATAAACAAACATCCTACTTATACGTGACAAATGACAGGCGCGCGAAAATTAATTTGAATCGCGAATAGGAACTTGAAAATTGGAATTGCAGCTACTCATAAATGTAAATAATGACGTATTTCAAGGTTTTTGGATTTTCGCATTTAAAGGAGGGGGGCATGGGAAGTATCATAAAAACCCTACTACTTTATAAATGCGAAAGTTTGGAGAAAGGGGGAAATAGAGGAAATAGGGAAAGTGGGAAAGTGAAAAAATAGAGAGAAGGGGGAAGAGGGATAAAAGTACCGATTTTCTAAAGGTGTGAACATGAAAGTTGGAATTGTAGCTACTCATATAATGACGTATTTAAAGGTTTTTCGATTTTTACATTTTAAGGAGGAGAGGAATAAATAAATAAAAAATAAGAATAAATAAAATTAATAAAAATTAATAAAAAATAATAAAAAATAATAAAAAATAATAAAAAATAATAAAAAATAATAAAAAATAATAAAAAATAATAAAAAATAATAAAAAATAATAAAAAATAATAAAAAATAATAAAAAATAATAAAAAATAATAAAAAATAATAAAAAATAATAAAAAATAATAAAAAAATAATAAAAAAAATAAAAAATAATAAAAAATAATAAAAAATAATAAAAAATAATAAAAAATAATAAAAAATAATAATAATTAATAAAAAATAATAAAAATCAATAAAAATTATTAAAAATTAACAAAAATTAATAAAACTATTGAAAACGAATAAAGATTAAATTAATTTTTTTTTTCAAGTATCGCATGAAAAAACTTCTCACTAGTAACAAAAACTGTTATTCACTTTTAATAATTGAGATTTGAGAAATTCCAGCGAAGCGGGATCTTTATATGTATGTCTTTATATTTTCACCTTAATTTTTAATCTTATGTTATGCTTAATAAAGATGACGACTTACAAAGTCTATGATCATTTTCTGTGTGAATTAAATTTTATATTTTTTTATAAAATAGGCATTTCCCAAACCAACTGTGTCTTGATTTCTTTGCCATCACGATAATAGAACCTAGAACCCAGTCATAGCCCTTATCCTCAATTACAGTATTTGTTAAACTTAGAGAAGAACAATAAAACGATCCCTTTTAAAAGAAGATGTGACAATGGAAGAAGAAAAATCGTCGACCAACTTGGGAAGAAGTATCAAAGCTCTCTCCAGTAGTTAAATCATATTTGGCTCAGTGGGACTCTTTTATCTTGGTAGAAGGCTTATTAAAGCAAGTACTAGAGAATGATCATGTTATGGAAACAAAAGACAGTTGGTCATTTCAAAGACTAGAGTAGCCAAAGTACTTCGTCAGTGACACGACAGTCCATCAGGAGGTCGTATCGTTTTTAAGAAAACCCTTCAGAGAGTTCGTAAAAGGTTTTATTGGATGAACAGTTCCGATGATATAAGGGTCCAGTTGCAGATGCAACCGTACAGTTTCAGTAACAGTTCCAGGAGGAACTATCTCTTAAGACGGGGGAATGTCGTGCAACCACCTAAAACCAACACTGGCCCTCTGGCCAATGCAAGCCGCTTCTTCGTCTATTTTGATACCACAGGACAGAGATAAACTCACTCCTTCGAGAAGTTATCAGAGAAATCTTTGCACGCCGGCTGTTTCATATTGGAAGAATTTCCAGAGATTCTAGACCGCCGAGAATCTACTCAAGCAGAGCCTGGCTTTATATTAATAGCGCGACATTATTTTAATAGTTCAGTTGAAGTTTATATATGGAAGCTTCAATATAAATGTTGTCAAGATAATTTGTGTTAAATAAATTAGAGATATAGATAGTGCTTGAGTATTAAATAAATTAATTAGTACGTAGGTAGTGTATATAAATTATATATAAACTGTTTTAAATAAATAAACTAATTTTTCATTAGACAATCTTCACAATTTATAAAATGTATCCACAGAGGGCGTATCGCTTAGCTTTAATCGCCAAAAACACGCATTCATGCACTAGTTAGATTCACATCAGAATGGAGTTGTAGAAACAAATGTAGCAAAATTTATTTCGAAGATTTTTCTTCTAAATGAAGAAGTTATATCATAAAAGTGACTTTTCTGTAAGAAATATTGATAACTTTAAAATAAAATATGAACTTTATAATTATATCAAAATTTACTCAAAACAATAAATACCTATAAAGTAATTCAAGAATCCAATATTACCTTCAAATAATTATTGTTTTATGTTACATATATATAATTTTTTTTCAGCTGGTTCAAATTCCAAGAAGAACTAAAAGAAGATGCTCAAAGGATTTTTGCTTGGGCCACTTTTTTTGTAAATTTTGTTGTTTTTGGGCCAAAAGGCGCACATGAACATAAACAAGAAGCCAATTTCAATTTTGACAATATAGCACACAGAGACACAATCAGAAAATCTATCATGCTTGAGGCCAAAGAAAGACTATATTTTATTGTTCAATATTATGCTAGGAAGAACTGGTTGTAATTAAAACACTTTTATTTTTATGAAATTTCTTCCTCATTACACTTTAGAAAGAAGGTTAATTATTTCTTGGATGAAGAAATAAATGTTATATGTAAATAAAAATACTAAGGATACAACACGAAAAGACAATGCAAAATAAATTATTTGCTTTAAAAAACTACGTTTTGTATATTTATTTTTTTAGCTATTACAAAAAATAAATCAAATAATAAATATTTCTAAATGCGTATTTCGGAAATTTTTTTTAAACACTCCATACGGGACGTTTATTGATATTGTCACGTTATGCGTGTTTTTAATAAAAATATAAAAAATAAAATATCACGATATTGGTGTTTTTTAATAATTATAGATCTATGTCCCAGGGGGTCAAGCAGCAAAATATATCACTCTGAACCTAAATAATGTAAGTACTCTGTGGCCTTGAAACTTGGCTTCATAACCCTTAACTATATAGGGGATTTATACGGGAAATAAAATCTCTGAAGACTAAAGAAAACACAAAGTTTTCTCAAAACAAATATATTATAATTGTATGCCTAACTGTTAAATAAAATACGTCATAACTCGATATATACAAATATTATTAACATAATAAAATATTTACTCACCAACTCCAATATTTGGGGCACACGTCACAACCTTTGACTAACTGGTTAAACCTGACTCAAATATAAAAAAAAAATTTAATTTAAACAATGGAGATCCTGAGCCTGCGGTTAGAGTCTCAGTAATTTGGAGGCGCTACGCGGAAGATCTTGCCTTGTGGAAGAAGCTCTGAGCTTCTCCTCGACATTACCTTTATAACTTCTCCATAGTTTATTTTTATGTAACTAATGTGTAATAATTATTAAATAATCAACCTTGCACATGATTGCAACACATGCCGACACTTAGATTTTGCAGTCGGATTTAAATAAACTAGAAAGTTGGTGCTCTAGTAACGGCATGGATCTAAATACTAACAAATGTCACATTATCCGATTTTATCGCAGCTATAATTTAATAACTTATAATTATAGTTTATTTCAACATGTTTTGGACCCTGTCAATCAAATCAAGGATCTAGGGATCACCTTTGACTCTTCCATGAGCTTTAGTTGGCATATCACTGCTACAGTTCAAAAATCAATGAAACCGCTTTGTCAAGAGGACAACTCATGACTTCGCTAATATAAACACAAGTAAAATGCTATACTTTTCTTTAATTAGGACACAACTTGATTATTGCTCCTCAGTCTGGGTCCCACACTACTTAAGATGTGACGAAGTCACTAAATTTTGCTCTCAATTACTTTTAAAAATGTATATTTTAATTAATTTCTGCCTGAGGACATGTAGAAGATCCCCCGTATTTCTGTTTCCCAGGAATACCGTTTTTCAACAATTGCAAGTACCTTCGTAGATTAAAATATTCCTATATTTGCCGAAATCCGAATGGGCATTTTGTAGAGTCGATTTCGTACCGATTATCTACCTTTATTTGTCAAGGTACTAGAAGGACATTTTTTATATCTTTAAATTGTAAACAGTCGGTTGTAGTAGTAGTATCCCCCACTCGAGCTTACCGGTCTTCCATCTTGCTCAGCGAAAAAGCATAAATTCGGTCACATCTGGGAATTACCCTCTCTTGAATTCCGGCAGTCGTAAACTCTTCTCTCTCCTGCAGTGTCGAGTGAAATACTCCGTGAGTGACCGTAATATCAAAAGAATATTGAACAACCCCGTTTATTTTTCTAAAGGTAGGAAACCGCCTATTATTTTTTTTTTATTTACAATTAGTTTGAGACACCCGTCCGACAAGTGAAATTATTTTGATTCATGCTTAGCATTTTTTCATTTCATCTCTTAGTGGGAAACCGTTGATAATTTTTTTTTATAAGAAACACCCAGTATTTTTTATGTTTCTCTTTTCTTTTATTTATTCATTCAATTGTATTTGAATCGTTTCGTTCCCCGTCCACAACTAATTATTAAACGAAGCCTAACTTTTTCTGTAAAACTAATTCACACACCGTCTTGATCGCCTTTTGGCAAATCTCAAAATAATTTTTACGTTAACCATCGCATTTTTGTTCCAAACACCGCGCTGAAAATTATCATTCTCGTTCAATAATTGCCAGTGCGTCGATCAGTCTAATCTAAGATACAGGGACGTTCCAAAAACTTTGATTTAATTTATTTTGCTTGCATTTGATTACCGTCATATTTAAATTGTTTTCAAGTGTATTAATTTATGTTTAATACATTTTCCGTATATAGGGAGTTTTATAATTCCCAGACCGCTTGGCCTCCTGTGCTAGCGAACTGTAATTATTCCTCAATATTTAAATAGTTTCCAATTGTAATAATTTATTTTTCATACATTTTCCGGATATAGGGATCCATCAATATTTAAATAGTTTTCAATTGTAATAATTTATTTTTCATAAATTTTTCGGATATAGGGATCCATCAATATTTAAATTGTTTTCAATTGTAATAATTTATTTTTCATAAATTTTCCGGATATAGGGTACGAGGTGTAAAGGAGATAAGTGTTTTATTTTTATATATTCAAGTATAGTAACTACCTAGCAGAGACTGCCTGGAATTATTTTTACCTTCACTGAGTTCACCTTAAGTACACTCTGGTGTACCACAGACTCACTGATTCACTTTAGGTGAACCAGAAGCCTGTCACAAATTCATAAAAGTAAACTGGATGGAGTTCAAAATAATTTTCTTAGATACATAGCATTTAAGTTTAACATTTACTACAATTATGCGGAATTGCAACAATAGTTAAGCATGCCTTCTCTGGAGGTTCGTAGGAAACAAAAAAATCTTACCATACTGTCATATCGCCCCATAAGCTCATCCTCCTTTCTACTTAAAACTCTAGAAAGATTGATAGGTATATCAGGGACGATATACTAAAAATAAATCTGCTCCACCCCAATCAATATGCATACCAGCCAGCCAGGAAAGTCAAATGACCTAGCGCTGGACGATCTAAACAGGCTGCTTTCAAAGTCAATAGATGACAAAGACTTTCTTAGATATTGAAGGAGCTTTCAACAATGCCTCAACCAGGTCAATAACCAAGGCTCTAGAAGAGAGAAACGTCCCAGTAACAATATACCAATGGATCACTGCCTGTCTAGAGAACAGGATTATTTTATTTACTCTAGGAAAGGCAACCATATAGGCAAAAGTTACACGGGGCTGCCCACAAGGAGGAATATTATCTCCAATGCTGTGGTCAGTTCTTGTGGACGACTTACTTAAAATATTGTCCAACGAAGGCTGCCAGTGCCTAGGATACGCAGACGACCTAGTAATTATCGCCAGGGGGTGATTTGCAGGTAAAGTTTTAGAGCGATCTCAAACATCTCTAAACATAGTGAACAACTGGTGCAAAAAGGAATAATTGTCCATTAACGCACAAAAAACAACAGTAGTACCATTCACAAAAAAACGGGTACTTACAGGTCTAAGACCACTAGTACTAAACAACACAGTTATCCCATTCGTCACAGAAGCCAAATAACTCGGAGTCATATTTGACCAAAGGCTGATGTGGAATCAACATCTCAAAAAACACATAAAGCTACAATAGCTCTCGTAAGCTGTAGAAGAATATGTGGAAAAAACTGGGGTCTAAACCCCAAAATGACCATATGGTTATACACAAGAGTAATAAGACCCATCATAACCGATGGTGCAGTGGCGTGGTTAACCAAAACTGCACAGGCAAGTACAATAGGCCAAGTCACTAGCATTCAGCGGCTTGCCTGTCTAAATGCTACTGGGGCCATGCGCACTACGCCGACCGCAGTAATGGAGGTATTATAAAATCTCACGCCACTGCACTTCTTTATACAAGGAGAAACCAGGTCAGCTATACACAGGATAATGCAGGGACAAAATTAAATAAGCCAACTGCATAGCTCCGACCACACAAGGCTATATCAGCAAGTAAAAAGGGATAATATTCTAGCTATGCCTACTGATACAGCCATAACCACATACAAATTTAAAAGAAACTTTCAAATTCAAATACCAGCCCGAGAATCCTGGAAACAGAGACCTACCGTACAGGCTGAACTCGTCTGGTACACAGACGGTTCAAAAACCAAGGAAGGAGCCGGTGCTGGAATCTATGGACCCAAGTCGAAATCAACGATTTCGCTGAGTTTAGGAAAACATGCAACAGTGTTCCAGGCTGAGCTAATAGCCATATAACACTGTGAAAGAGAAATACAAAAATATAAAACTATTGCCATATACTCTGATAGCCAAGCACGACTGGTGAAAGACTATCTAGAAGACCTAACAGAGCTAAGTAGTCAAAATAAGGTGACCTTGGCCTGGGTTCCAGACCATGAGGGATATCAGGGCAACGAAAAGGCCGACGAATTAGCTCGAGAAGGCACAGATAAGGCCATGACAGGCCCCGAACCCTTCTGTTGCTAAGGCATTGTGCAAGGCATCCATTAAACAATAAATGGAAAATGAGTCTCAGGAATAGTGGAATAACTATCCAAGATTGAGACAGGCCAAACAGTTTATCAAGGAACCATCGGCCAAGTTCACGAAAGACCTACTGGATCAGCGAAATCAACATCTCACAAAATATTAAGGCAAACAGTGCTCCTCCAACCCCAAACACTAGGGAAGATTCACACCCATTCTCAAATCTAAGCCCCGATCACTCGGAAACTCAGAAAACTCAAATCCAGGAAACAAATAAAAATACAGCACCTCTAAAGATAGCAACTGTACCAGCAAAAAGGACTGCAAGCACTAGCAGTAATCCTCCTAAAACGCCAAAATCAGGAACAAAACCAGTAGATGGAGATATAAAGGATTCCACGGATAGATTGCTTAGGCAAAGAACCAGTAAAAAGTAGAGAATCGTGATATAATTAATTATATGCTATTAGTTATCTGTTTTTCATAATTAGGTAGGCGGATATAATTTAAACATAGTTTCCTAGACTATAATACACATTTTATAATTTTAGAAAATTTTAAACTTTTATCTATTATTTAGTATCTAGTGGGTAAGTTTTATATTTAAAAAAAAAAATTTTTAATTACTAGTATAATATTGTATTTGCTAGTTTAGGTATTTTATTAATAATAATCAATGAAATGAATCCCTATATTCGTGATTTTAATATAGACAAATTAGAAAGCTACTACCTAGATAACTCGCAAGAAGCAAAACAAATATTAGAAGTGAATCAGGCAAATACAAACATTAAAATTATGCACAACAATATCCGAAGTATTTTTAAAAATTTTGATGAATTTAAAGTTTTCCTTTTTGACCTAAGAGTGCCCATAGAATGCATTATACTTACAGAAACTAGAATTATAGATGATATTTCCTCAATTAATTTACCTGAATACCACACAGTATATAACAATGGT